GAGATTATAGCTTTTCAGCTTTCAACTCCTTTTCAGCTTTTAGCTCCTAGCTTATAGCTTTTCAGCTAGGTTTGCCAAACAGAGCCTATATATGGTGCTTCTTGGGATTATAATATTAATTAAATTTTCGATGAAAGCCTATTCGATATCTGAAACAGTGCAATTAATGCAAGCCTCTACATATAATTTTTCTCCCTCTCAAATGCTTCAAAAAAAAATGGCAGAAGCGAGAAGGGATGAAGAAAGCAAATGCTGCGGGTCGTGGGTCAATTATTGGACTTCAGAATTAAAAAAAAAATCATTTGAGCCATAAATAAAAATTTAAATATATATATATATATATATATATATATATATATATATATATATATATATATATATATATATATAAATGTATATATCATATGGGTCTTTAATATTTTTCTGGATTTCTAAACTTAGGACTTTTAAAAGAAAAAAAATACATTTGAATTATCTCCACAAAAAGTGGACTTGGACTTATAGAATGACATTTGGGTTCATGGAATGACATGTGCATAAAGAATATATTATATTCTTCCAAAAGGCTGAACCCCAACCCTAAGGGCCCTCCACACCCCGGCCCGACAGAGCATTTGGGAGGATGTAAATAAGAATATATTATATAATCATATAAAAAATGTGTTCAATTAGAGTTTAAATTTACTCATACAAAATTTGCAATTTACTTTCTAAATGTAATTATCTTAGTTATTATTCGTATTATGAAAATTATAATATAGATGAAATACAATTAAGAATAAATCAATGTAATTATGTAAATTCTCTCTATAAGTTTATTTGAATATGTACATAATTAGAAATTATATTAACCATACAAAATTTTAATTTTAATTTTTTATTCTATAAAAATAATAAATACTTGACCAATGAAAGCTCAAAAATATTATTATATTAAACAATTTAAAATATTTTTATTTTTTCTATTTTTTATTAATATTTATAATAACATAATTTTTTCCCCGTGCATTGCGCGGGTGATAATTATTAAATAACAAAAATTTTATATATGAATAAACCTTATATATGGTATATTTTTATAACATATTTTTCGTGCATCGCACGAGACAAATACTAGTTGTTGTAATAATGATAATATAAAAATAAAATGCTCATCGTCGCCGTCGCCGTCGTTGTTATTATTATTATTATTATTATTATTATTATTATTATTATTATTATTATTAAATGGTCGGAAAATATTTTGTAATGAGTAAGAGAATACTCTTACTAAAGTTTATACATAAATGAAAAAGTAAAAGATGATAACTTTGGAAATGTACATCATTGTACATAGAATAAATTAAAATGTACAAGTTATCTATCCACATTATTACACCAACATAAATTTTATTTCCGTTATTATAACCTTAACAACATTGGTACTTTTTTTTTTGAATTCTACTGACTATATTACATTGTAGTGCGCAAAGAGTCAACAACGTCTCTACTAGGCTCAATCTCATGACCTCCCATATGAGAGATGTCACTACATGCCATATGAGCACAAGGTACTTGGCACATTGACACTTATTATATTGAAGTAGTTCAAAATAAATTTTTATCATAAAAACAGTGTTGTCATTTTTATTTGAATTTATACTCTTAAATGATATTCTGTAAATGTACACTACATTTAAAATCGAATGACTGTCATAAACATTATTCTCCAACAATTTACGAGTTAGCATCATATTATATCAAGAAGAAAACAATATGTTGTTTTGTTTGAGGTTCCATGGTGTAGTGGTTAGCACTCTGGACTTTGAATCCAGTGACCTGGGTTCGACTCCCGGTGGGACCCTCTTTGCTTGCACTGGCTTAACTCATTAATTAAGTACTCAATATTTGAGAGAAGATGCATAATTATGCTCAAAGTTGGCAAATCTGTTGGGCAGACATCTCATTTTTTAAGTTGATACATTATACATAGATTTCTTATTAACAGATGCCCCTTAATATTAAAATTTTAGTTATATTAAAAATAAGTTCAACCTTATAAATATTTGTATGTTTTAGGTTAGATTCATAGAACCAAATATGTTAGAGACTCCTACAATTACTACTCTTTAAAAATCACTTTCAGACATCTCATTTTTTAAGTTGATGCATTATACGTAGATTTCTTATTAACTTAACTAGTCTCTTCTATGCGTTATGCACAAAAATAGATGCCCAATAATAATACTTAATATTGAAATTTTAGTTATATTGAAATATTTTTAAAATAATATATTTTCAAAATATATTTTTTAAGTGTATATATATATTTAAAAAAAAAAACTCATAATTGTAAAGTTCATATTATATTAAAAGTATTGTTGATAATTTGGGTAATAATTATTGTATACTTTTTTTTTTTCTCAAAATGCACTACTGGAAATTATGAAATTTCCGACCACCTGAAAGTGATCTTAAATCAAATCTAAAGTAAAAAGTGGTCGGAAATAGCTATAAAGGTTTTTCCGGACACCAAAAGTGGTCGGAACAAGGCTTTTGACATGATTTTTGATCATTTTCAGGTGGTCAGAAATTGCATAATTTTCAACAGTGAGGAATGATGCAATGCTATTAACGGGAAATAATATGAAAAATGCACCTAAGAGGGATGGAGACCCACTCCCTCAAACCAGCATAAGAACTTGAGGTCATTGCTAACACATGGGCAACCTGGTTCGCTGATCAACTAACATAATGAACTAACACCTTCTCAATAGAGGAAATAATGCTCTTACAATGATTTTTAATTAAGCCTATATAAGAGTAATCAACCGATAGTTTAGGGAAACATGACCAAAATTTGAGATATTGCGACTCTAAATTTGTGTTGTTAAAGTAAATATTTTAGATATGATAAATCTACTAAATCATGGGTGTATTTTAAAAATACATACATAAATCACGGGTAATAACATTGATTCGCTCTTATAAGTTTTTTTTTTAATTTAGATTTTAGATATTTATATTATTGTATTATAATAATAATAATAATAATAATAATAATAATAATAATAATAATAATAATAATAATAATAATAATAATAATAATAATAATAATAATAATAATAATAATAATAATAATAATAATAATAACAATAATAACAATAACAATAATAACAATAATAATAATAATAATAATAGTAATAGTAATAGTAATAGTAATAATAATAATAATAATAATAATAATAATAATAATAATAATAATAATAATAATAATAATAATAATAATAATAATAATAATAATAATAATAATAATAATAATAATAAATAATAATAATAATAATAATATAATAATAATAATAATAATAATAATAATAATAATAATAATAATAATAATAATAATAATAATAATAATAATAATAATAATAATAATAATAATAATAATAATAATAATAATAATAATAATAATAATAATAATAATAATAATAATAATAATAATAATAATAATAATAATAATAATAATAATAATAATAATAATAATAATAATAATAATAATAATAATAATAATAATAATAATAATAATAATAATAATAATAATAATAATAATAATAATAATAATAATATAATAATAATAATAATAATAATAATAATAATAATAATAATAATAATAATAATAATAATAATAATAATAATAATAATAATAATAATAATAATAATAATAATAATAATAATAATAATAATAATAATAATAATAATAATAATAATATAATAATAATAATAATAATAATAATAATAATAATAATAATAATAATAATAATAATAATAATAATAATAATAATAATAATAATAATAATAATAATAATAATAATAATAATAATAATAATAATAATAATAATAATAATAATAATAATAATAATAATAATAATAATAATAATAATAATAATAATAATAATAATAATAATAATAATAATAATAATAATAATAATGATGAACCCCAAACCTAAGGGCCCCCCACACACCGGCCCGACAGAGCATTTGGGAGGATGTAAATCATGGTGACTCAACTGAACATGAACCACCGGTGCTCACTGCGCACAAGGAGCCCCCCTCACTTTGAGAGGTTGCTCCCACACTGCCGCTGGTGAGACTCGATCCCTGGTCATTCTTCCAAAGTTTCACCTCTATTTAATATTTATATTTTAGTAAATAACTAACTCATCCTTATTAATTAAAATTTAAATGAAATCAAATTTATTTATTATATTACTTCAATATATAATGTCTACATATATTATTATCATTTGAGAATATAAGAAAATATATTGTGGATGCATGTGCATGGTAATAATAATGAGGAACGATAATAAAAGTTATAACGTTATGATGTATTTTTGTCCAATAAATTGTATAGTACAAATTTTATACCACAATGTATGAAAAAAAAAAAAAAGTAACAGAAAAACGGACATAAATGAAAGGTATCAATCTTCAGTCACTCTGTTACTGTGTTCGACGGTGAAAACTCTGGGCTATACCAAAGAAAAAAAAAATCTCCATTCACTTCTATAATGTGCGCAGTGCATGATTAAATTAATGCCTAACACAAAAATTAAAATAAGTAAATAATTAGTACAACTTTTATATATTAAGAATTAATACATAGTATAAAATAAGAATTATTATTTCCAATATAATTAAAATGAGTATTTTCAACTTGTAATAAAAATAGTACTAAAGATGATTATTGTTGTAGATAGTTATAATTGAGAATAAAAATAATGTCTTAACAATTTTATATTAAAATAAATTAAGTCTTCATAATAAGATATTGATGAGTCAGTAAAACTTAAATTATTTGTTATTAAAAATAACATGCTTATAATAGATTATTTACCGATGTTATCAAATATTAATTAATTAAAAAGTTATGCAATTAATTTATAACATATGAATTCATAAGTTTTTCTTGTGTATATAATTAAGACTTTAATTGTTGTTATATGTGAACTATTCAATTTGAGATAATTAAAATTTGTGTTACAACAAATAAGGTTTGATTTAACTAAATAGAAGATAATGTATTCTTAGAATAATTATAGTATGACATCCATATTCTTTTAGAATGAAAGATTAAAAAATACTCCGTAATAGTTTTTATTTTATATAAATATATTTAGTTGAAAGAAACAAATCAAATTAATAAGTAAATATTATTATATTTTAATTCATACCACAAAGAAGAAAAGCGTTGAAAAAATAAATTTGACACGAGTTCAATTTTGTGTACACTAATTTAATTGTTATAATAATAATATAAAAACAAAATGTCAATCATTGATGTTTTTGTTGTTATTATTATTGTTGTTGTTATTAAAATGTTAGAAATTATTTTGTAATTAGTAGATTTTTTTCAGATTACACCCTAACCTATTTTTATAATATATATTCAACAATTATGTCAACCATATCTTGATTGAGATGAGACATGAACCACCTAAGATCTTCCTTATGGAGTGCAATGAGTAAGTATATATTTACAAGATAGTATATGTTATATACTTTCAGAAACATTTTTATCTCAAGTTGTAAGAATCTAAGCCCCTACCACCGTGATTTGAACCTATGATCACCAATTTGGAATGGTAACTAGGCCAGGATTTCATCACACTACATGGTAGTTGACACTTGACATTCTGTTACTATAGTTTATACATGTTACTATAGTTTATACATAAATAGAAAAGTAAAAAATTAAAGGTGGTAACTTTGAAAATGTCTTATTATCGTACAAGGAATAATTTAAAATATACAAGTTATTAATTCAATTCACATTATTACACCAACATAATATAATTTTTATTTCCGTTATAACCTTACCAACATTGACTTTTATTATATTTAGTGTAGAAATGACCCAATGACTTTATCAGTAATTCATATATATATATATATATATATATATATATATAGTGAAAGGTTCCCGTGCGGTTGAATGCTTCCCGTACGGATGTGCGGTGGATTAATGTGCGTGAGATTTGTACTCAATGTGCGTGAGTGTTGTGCTTAATGTGCCTGAGATTTGTACTTAATGTGCGTGAATGTGTAAAATGCAGCAGAAAATATTGATGTCAGCTTCTTCTGCATCCCCAGTAGCCATTTGACCCCTCCCTGATGATGATGATGCGGAGGCGGGCTATGGTGGTTAAGAATTATGGGAATAATACAACAGAAATCCACACTTAGCTGCTGTGCAAATCTTACTGTGCGTGCGTCATTTATATAAACATTCAATTGTACTGAAGGTAGCTGATAATCCAGAATCCATGGCCAAATTGAAGGAAGAAGTAACAAGAAGCTTGGGCGTTAATGTGCGTGAGTTTCTGTTCTGTTTCCTTCTGAGCTCGTAATTCTGAAATATTCACGCACATTAAGCACAAATCTCACTCACATTAAACACAATACTCAGGCACATTAAGTACAATAACGCATATTAAGTACAAATCTCAAGCACACATTGAGTACAAATCTCACGCACATTAAGTATAAACCTCACGCACATTAATTCACCGCACATCCGCACGAGAAGCCACAAATGCACCTGATCCCTTCCATATATATATATATATATATATATATATATATATATATATATATATATATATATATATATATATATATATATATATATATAAAATTCTAGAGTAGTTAATAGAGAATAATAATTGTAACACCGAAAAGTATTTTTCTTTAGGTTAATTTAGTGGCATATGATTTGGTGGAGAGAAAGATAGGTGGACCCTACTCTCGTGCTCTGTTTCTTCATCCCACATTATTGCCAAAGAAACAAGTCTCCATGCTAGCTCGACCACCCATGAATACATTCTAACCATATCTTTTTTTTTTTTTTTTTTTTTTTTTTTTTTTTGTAAAATGCTTTAATTATATTTATATATTTTGTTAAAGTTTAGTTATGTAATATAAACTTGTTTGGTTGAATAGATTTTTTTTGGGGGAGGAGTATGATGATTATTTTGTTTTAATAATACTCTTTAACATGGGAGAGGTCACTACATGCCATCTGATAAGGTGTTTGGCAATAATACTCTTAACCTATTTTTATGTATTTTAATAAACTTCAAAATTAAAATAAATAAATAAGGAAATGGTAAAATATATAAGTAAATGATTTAAAAACAATTAACTAAGAGCTTGAACTGAGAAACGACATTGTGACCATGTTTTGTAACATAGTTAATTAGCTTATCAGCCAATTTTGGCTTATTTGATAACTATTAGCTGTTTGACTTTAATTTGTTAATCAATCAATATGAGTGTTTGATTAAGGGAAATTCTACATAAACTCCCAAATCCTACTTCATTTTTTACTCACTATGACATGACATGCCTTGATTGCTTAATTTAGTAAGGGGTCATAATGTTTATCCATTCTTTTTTTCTTCTTCCTCTAATCAAATTTGAACACAAGTGGGAGAAAAAGTTGGGAGGATGATTTTGGGAGTACATGAAGTATTTTTGTTTGATTAATTAGCTTTTTGTAACAACTTATTGCTCCAAAATGTTAAAATTCAAAAAGCTGCTCAATCAGCCTTTTGAGAAAGTTATTTTGCATGTAATCAGCTATCAACTAACAGCTAATTTACCAAACACTTTTTTACAATCAGCTAATGCTATCAACTAATCAAACCCACTAACCTAATTAGCTAACAACTATTTGCCAAACACCCCCTGTATGTTTTAAGTGTGAGAAAAATAAATGGGTTAAAATGAAAAACATAATAAAAAACAAGGGAATGTGAGAATACTAAAGAAGTTTATCTCACAATCACAATCACTTCAAATAATAATATCATTTCATAAACTTCTTTTTCTTATATTTTACAATAAATACTTAAGTACGGTATTTTCAAAAAAAAAAAAAAAAAAAAAAAAAACTTAAGTACGGTAGGTAGAGATTGATCAAATTATGTTAAATTTAGTCTATGTTCCATCACATATAGCACCTTAGTATATGCATTCCAAACATTCTTTAGAACCAACAAATTAACACACACAAAAATATGAAAGGAAAATGAAATTGTTCTAAACTTTAAATAAAATAAAGGAAAATAAATAGAAAAATAGAAGCTCTATATTTTACTACTTTTATAGTTAAAATATAATCTAGCTGATTTAGTCAAACAATAAGGTGATCTAAACCCTTGTCCCAAAAATTTTTTAAAAAATAATCAATGATATTAGTTCCAAGAGCTAGAAGCCAAGCAAAAGTAAAACTACTCTTTATCTAATAAATAATGTTGCATGCTAATAATTTATTATGTCTTATAACTACAAATATATTTTTGTATTTAATGAGATGAAAAAGTGAAATTCAAACCTATATTTACTATTTAGTAATCGAAAAGTGGTCAAATTTATTACAAAATTATATATGAATTCAATTGAACCGTAAAAATATTGAGATTGACTAATCATATTCATGCTGAGTAGGACCTTAAAGGATGACAAAGCACTCCTACATAAGTTTTAAGGTAGATGTATTCTTACCGTTGAAATCTGAATCATCTGATTAAACGAAAGTGACCCACCCCATACATCTTATCAACAACACCCTTGGGTATAAAGAATTATTGGAAGAAAGATTTATTAATTAAATTAAGGAATTGTGAGTATTCAAATCTCACTAAAATATATTGTGTCACCTTGTATGACTGTACTAGTGCCACCAAGTACCTCTAATGGAAAGTGGATGAGGCTCATTAATTAAGCAATTACATCTTTCTCTAATCACGTATATACATTATTAATTACTTTTCTCAAACCAATAATAGAAGTTTATAGAAGTCGTTTAGGTGAAACCATTCCCTCTTTACAAATAATAATAAATAAAACAAAACTTTATTCTATAGTTTACTAACTTCCACGACTCGAATGTCTGCTGCTATTTAATTCACAAAAGTTGTTTGAGTAAAATATAAGGTTGATATAAAACATAATTTTGGGTGTGTGTGTGTGTGTTTTTTTTTTGGTTAGGGAAGATTAGGTTCCAATCAATAATACTACTAGCTTATGTAGGCGATTTGTTGGCATGATTACACTACAATTTCAACTAACCCTTAGTACAACAACATATATATATATATATATATATATGGAAGGGATCAGGTGCATTTGTGGCTTCCCGTGCGGTTGTGCGGTGGATTAATATGCGTGAGGTTTATACTTAATGTGCGTCATGTTAATATGCGTGAGATTTGTACTTAATGTGCCTGAGTATTGTGTTTAATGTGCGTGAAATTTGTGCCTAATGTGCGTGAGTATTTCAGAATTACGAGCCCAGAAGGAATTAGAACAGAAACTCACGCACATTAACGCCCAAACTTCCTGTTACTTCTTCCTTCAATTTGGCCATGGATTCTGGATTATCCGCTACCTTCAGTGCAGTTGAATGTTTATATAGATGACGCACGCACAGTAAAATTTGCACAGCAGCTAAGTGTGGATTTCTGTTGTATTATTCCCATAATTCTTAACCACCATAGCTCGCCTCTGCATCATCATCAGCAAGGAGGGGGCAATGGCTACTGGGGATGGGGAAGAAGCTAACATCAATATTTTCTGCTGCATTTTACACATTCACGCACATTAAGTACAAATTTCGGGCACATTAAGCACAACACTCACGCACATTGAGTACAAATCTCACGCACATTAATCCATCGCACATCGGGTATAGCTTCCCGTGCGGTTGTGCGGTTAAATCTGAGCAGTTGATCAAATTTAGATCAACGACTCAAATCAATGAAAATTATAAAAAAAAAAAAAAAAAAAAACAAAAACAAAAAAAAACGCTTGCCAAAGCCAAGTGTGCGAATACCAGGAAGGCGAGAAGGAGACTCATTCAACTCATCAACTCTATACTTTGAATTTGGATTTCTCCTTTTATCTTGCTTAGGAGTAGCGCAGCTTTGCTGGAGGGTTTTGCCAAAGCCCAGGGCAAGTCGGAGGCTTGGTGCACCTTAAGTGTTAGATCTTAATCACAAACTCACGCACTTTAAGTACAAAACCCACACACATTAAGCACAACCTCACGCACATTAAGTACAAAACCCACGCACTTTAAATATTAACTCACAGACTTTAAGTTTCAACAACCAAGTACAAAACTCACGCACATTAAGTACAAAACTCACGCACATTAAGCACAAACATCACGCACATTAAGCACAAAACTCACGCACTTTAAGTATTCACTCACAGACTTTAACTTTTAACAACTATTCACGTTAAGCACATCCCCACGCACATTAAGCACAAACCTCACGCACATTAAGCACAAAACACACACACATTAAGCACAAAACTCACGCACATTAATCACAGATCCGCTCACCTTAATTTTGACCTAGATGCAAAAATTACAAAATTGCCATCGCGTTTTTTTTTAAACTTTGATAATCCTGGACGTTGATTAAAGCGAGATGGATGGCTCAGATTAAACCGCACAACCGCACCTGAAGCCCTCACCCGCACGAGAACCTATATATATATATATATATATATATATATATATATATATATATATATATATATATATATATATATATCCTCATACAACATCAGAGTATCAACGGTGAGACTAATTCAAATTCTCCTTGAATTATTGCGTTCATAGAGTTTGATTTTTTACTTTAAAAAAGACCTGATCAAGAATCTTTTAATATATTGTCCCTAAAAAAATTTGTTTAATTTTTGTCTATCTAATTACTATATATATATATATATATATATATATATATATATATATATATTTGGGATCATTTTTGTATATTTGATTACAATATTTAAAAAAAATAATAATAAAATTGACGACCAATATAATCAGATGACTAAAAAGGAAATAAATCCTTAAACAAAATTATCAATTCTTTTAACTTTATCATGTACAACCTTGTTATCAATGACGATTGTTGAGATGATATGACTTGACAAACAACCTTACATTTTACTAAATAATTAAGGTGCAACCGTATCATCGATAGTAATTAGTTAAAGATATTTGATATTTTCTTGTTAAAAACATTTATTTAAGAATATTCTCATAGCTTACTACAATAGAGCAAATACATATATAATCGATCATATAACTTAAATCATCCATTAACATGTAATCAATTGTTATCAACTTATCACCAAAAAAAAAAAAAAAAAAAAAAAAAAAGTAGGGTTTGTAGGGTGATGATCATAGCTGCAATGGGGAAGTTGGGAAAGTAGTGGGCCGGCTAAGAAGAGGATTAAAGATGACACCCAACAAGGCCTACAACATCCTTGGACGTAGGTTACAGCCCATAATAAAAATTGTTTTCTTAAAGCCACCAAGCCTACAACCACATTAAAATGACCAAATGGTCGGCGGCTCCACCCTCCACTTCCTCTTGCCAATTCCTAATAATTTGGGATCTTATACAAAGTCTTGGATAACGTAGCTTAGCTACATTAGTCATTTGTTTATCAATATATTTATTCTTCCCAAGCTTAAGCGTGATGAAACTGCATGTTATGCTAAAAGTTTAATCTTGAACTTGATGAATTAACACCGCAATGATTACATTTATAAATCCCAAAGGCGATGAATATTTAGTTCAAATATAGAGATATTATTTTTTTTAATTAACTTTAGGACAATTCCAACCAATTTAGTCCGATAGTTTGATTATCACAAGATTTTAAGTTTGATTTTTCATGAAAGCTGCATATTGATCTTTTGATATATTTGAGTCAATCAACTATCAGCAACCAAGACTGGTTTATCTTATTATAGTCTTTTGCCAGTTAGATTCACAAGATAAGTCTGATTTATTTTATGGTAAACCACAACGTCATATCTCGAATTGAGCAGGGGCTGAACTCGACCAACTCAGTCGGAATTCTAGGTGGGTGGAAGCCGGGCTTATTGAGTAGAATTAACACATGAAATAATATAATGTATAGGATTAAAAGGGAAAGAAAGAAAGGAAAACCTGCAGGTACATTAATGGTGGTGGAAAGAGGGGTCAAGCTTAAGACAAAGCACAAGACAATGCAATCACTGCATGTACCAAAAATCTTTAGAGGGGGGCCTAAAAAGTCTTAAAGATAACAAAAGCGATTGTCCAAAACATGATTATATATAATTTTATAAATTATATTTTTGTAGTTAATTAAGATTTCCCATTTACCAGCCTGGGCACAAAAGTTATTCTTTAAGTGCAATTTTTATATATTCCTTGCCCTTCTTTTGTCCTAATGCCCGTGATTTCGGGCCTAATCTCATCATCACCCTTCAAACACTAACCACCAAAATAATTATATTTTATGAAATCCCCTCTTCAAGCTAGCTTCTGACTGGTATTTCTTATGGTGGATATATATGTGGACTTATGGCCCTATGAATTGAAAAAATAGTTGTGCTGAGCAGACTTTAGGAGGCACTTTAAGTCTGTACCATATTTAGAGTGCACGGTCACTCACGCCAACCAAGCTGATTATGTTTAATATGAATATTATTTATTATGTATAATGAATATCGAGACATTTGTAATACAACTATATATGAACATAATAAGTTAATAGACATGTAAAAATGTCTGCATCCCTGCAATACTCTCTGATTTTTAAACGTGGTCTCTATTGCCATATTATCGCATTTACTACTACCGATCAAAACATGAGTTTATCAAACGAAGACGAGAATTATATATATGTGTTTGAGAGAGATACTTAATTGTTTCTTTGTCATTCTTATTTGATATGTAATTAGAAGAATACTATAAAATGCAATATATAAATTAATAAGGATTGAAACCTCGTAGTTTCCGTCCATAAGGAACAACAAACAGTACACAAATGCAGGTGTTGCAGATGATTCTGAGGTAGGGTTTCAACTTTCTGAAATGATGATTCTGTCACTGCTTTTTACCATGCAAATTAAAATATATATGTATATTATTGCATATAACCAAACCTTTATGTCTAAGCCAATTGTCCAGTGCTGGGTACACTTCACTCAGTTTTACCCTTCTCATTTGTCCCCACTCACTCCATTTATATCCCCCCCATCATCACTTTCTTTTAATTTTGACTTCAAATTCAGTATTTTACTCTAATCAGTAATATATATATATTGTATTTACTTTACTTTTTTTTTTTTTTTTTTTTTTTACTTCATCTTATAGATGTAATAAATCTGATTATATTCATTCAGAAAGAAATAAATTGTATTTTTTTTTTGTCTCATTTTATGTATCTAATTTGGTTATTAATGAAATTTGATTGGAGTTATTTATAATTCAATTTTGTAGGGTATACCATTTACTTATTTAGAAACTAAATTAATTGTATTATTAAAAACATAAAATAAATTAAAAAATATTAATAAAATAAACAAAAAAAAAAAAAGTTGAATTGACTAATGAATAGTAAACAAAGACAAATAAAATAGACAAAGTGAGTAGTTTTTTTTTTTTTTTTCATTTTTTCTACAATAAAATAAAAACATGTGACAAAAATTTTAGCCTTAAAACATGCTTATTATTCGTCTTGGTTTATTTTATTTTATTTTATTAGATTTTTGTTTGTAGATCGTGGTGTCCTTGCCTGCACAATAAGACTAACTATGTTTGTGATGTCTGCCGAGTACAAAGCATTCTTGGACTTTAAAATATATAGTTGCATTCACTCATGTATTTTAAGGTAATTGTACTCTTGAGAACTCAAGAATTCTGGTTAAACTGAAAGAGACTCGCGTCATCTCATATTCTCTTACCCCATGAATATTTTTAATTAGATCTTAATTAATGCCTTCATTTCCAACCATTTTCTTGAAAAATAAATAAAGATTATTTTGGCATTTCATAAATATAATAATATTTTATTTTCAACTTCATATTCTTCTTGTTTTATTTTATTTTATCACATCTCCTCTCTCCTACAAATTTGTTAAACCAATCATATTAAATTTATTCTTATATATTAAACTTCATAGGTATTTAGTTATTTACTATCAACCTTATTCATACCTTTTATTAAAATGTTTATTTCTAAATATGAAAATTCTGTAATTTAGTTATATCAATTGAATTGAGACATGCAATAAGAAGAAAAATGTGACAAAAATACCTCTTAATGTAACCCTACCATGTGTCGTAATGTCATCCGAGTAATACTACACTAGTTTGCTTCTCGTGATATGCGTTAATTAACTTGAAAAAGAGTACCTAGTACGTACAAACTATGTTTCTTTTCTTTTTCTAATAACATCATGGTCAGGGCCGGTCCTATCAATTTATAGGCCCGGGGCGAAGTAAAAACAATGGCCCTTAATATATATATATATATATAGTTAATTAAAAAGATTTTGTTAATTGAAAATAATTCAAGGATAACTTTGAATTTTTGTCGACATATAATTTTTGTAAGACTTTATTTTAAAAAAATTCAGTTAAGACTAATTATAGAGTAGTGCTCATTCAAACTTTGGGCCTCTATATGAAATTTAATTATAAATTAATTTAATATTCTCTAATATATACTGAGTATCTATTAATTAAATTATTATATTAAATGATTGTAATGGTTAAGTTGATGTAATGTTAAATAATAATTTTGAAGTTGTGGGTTCAAATCTCTGCTTATGCACGAAAAAAATTTTCTCTTAACTTTATCAAAAAATAAAAATCCAAGTTAGGGGCCCCTTTCAACATTGGGCCCTGGGCGGGTGCCCATTTGCCCGCCCCTCTGGGCCGGCCCTGATCATGGTATATTTTATCAAAATATTAATGTGACGCGTTTTTATTATTCTATTCAAAAAAGGCTCTTAATTTTTTTTAAACTTTTGTTTTTGTTTTTGTTTGTATCAATTTAGCCAAATCTTTGAGGGGTTTGGAATATAATGGGCTTAAAAAAAATTAAAACAAAAGAGTTAGTAAGCGTTATTATGGTAGATAAACAACACAAGAAACATCATCGATGAAGACAAAATCTTGAAACATAAACAAGAAGGGAGTGGTGGTTGGGTGGGGGGTTTATTTTGTTTGTGAAACAGACACACTTACATACATTATACATACACTTAATCAAAAGCCAAAGGGCCCAACATTTCACGCCATAAACCCCCTTAAAATCCTCCTTTCTTCCACTTTCCCTTTGAACCGTTCACCTCCCACAACCGCCCATATCCATGGCCACCACCTTCACACATGCACTCCTTCTCCTCCTCCTCCACCTCTCCTCCGCCGCCGCCGCCGCCTCCAACATCCACGACCTCCTCAAGAGCCGCGGCCTCCCCGCCGGCCTCTTCCCCAAGAACGTCGTCAAATCCTACGACCTCGACGACTACGGCCACCTCCAAGTCTACCTGGAAACCCCCTGCGTCGCCAAATTCGAGACCCGCGTCTTCTTCGACAGCGTCGTCCGCGCCAACCTCAGCTACGGCGGCCTCATCGGCGTCCAGGGCCTCTCCCAGGAAGAGCTCTTCTTGTGGCTCCCCGTCAAGGACATCATCGTCTACGATCCATCTTCCGGTCTCATCCTCTTCGACATTGGCCTCGCTCACAAACAGCTCTCCCTTTCCCTCTTTGAAGACCCTCCTGTTTGTAGCCCTCAAGGTAACATTTTTTCCTCAAATTATGCTCCAAGATCCAATCTTTATCATTGCTTCATCAACAAGAAACAGACACTGCTGGAAATTATAGAATTTTCGACCACCTAAAAGTGATTTTAAATCAAGTCGAAAGCAAAAAGTGGTCGGAAATAGCAACAAAGGTTTTGTCGGATACCAAAAGTGGTCGGAACAGGACTTTTGACTTATTTTAAGATCACTTTTAGGTGGTCGGAAATTCCATAATTTCCAGCGGTGAAATATTTTATATCATCTGTATTATATTGCCTGATCTGATTGATAATTTGATACTCAGAAAATCAAAATGCAGGGGTTTTGATGGAGAAAGGTGGGAGGGAGGAGACTGGATTTCAGGTTGAAAGATTCAAAAGCTTTTCCTTTTCTGGAGCCTAATGTGATATGATGATGATGAACTGCAAACTCTGATCTGGTGATCTGAGTTCTTTTGTTTGTGTTGTGTGGGGCTGAAGCTGAAGCTTGAAAGAAAGAGAAAGTGGAGTGAGATTCTGATTTTAGGTTCTTAGGTTTGTAAAAAAAAAAATATTATGGAAATCTACTGACTAGAAAAAAAAAAAGTTTTGGAGAAGAAACAAAAAAAAAAAAAAAAAAAAAAAAAAAAAAAAAAAAAAACAGTTTTGAAAATTTTTCATCAAATGCTTTTTTGCTTATTGGGTACTGATGTTTGAGGATGGCTACCACCACAATATCTGGTGTCTCCTTAATAAGAAAGTGCACATCTTTATTCCATTTCTTTTATAAGTTGGAAGTCCGGAAACTATAATCAAGACAAATTCACAACATGTTATTATTTATTATACCATAATATTGTTATGCAACTTTGTTCCCAAATCGCGAAAATAACAAAGGGTACTAGGAAATCCAAACCCAGAAACCTCGTTTCAGAAACGTGAGTTATAGTCGATCAGGCCGGTGAACCTCAAGTGTCAAGAATGGTGGGTTTTGTCACCTCTACTCATATTATTCACAAGCCATTCATGCCAAGATTTCTTTTGGGTGCAGCTTAGGGAACAGTGTTAGGTATGTTGGTTTTGAGACCAAACACAAAACAGGAGAGCAATCAATGGGATTTCATTTTTTCTATGAATTTGCATGTCCAATGTTAGTAACAATAGGTGGGGCCCCTTTATGTTACTTTCAAACTTTATGCAGACCAGGAGACTGTAGATTCATGTGCCTTTTATCAAATCTGAACTGTTCTGTAAGAATTCCTCCTCCTGATTGGCTAGCAGCAGCTGGCTTTGGGTCCCACCATTTTGGTAGACTATGTTGATTGAGGATAGGATCTTTCTTGTAGTGGGGAGAATTCACAAGCAAGATCTTAATTATAAATAATAATAATAATAATAATAATGATTATGTAGTAGTAATAATAACTACATACAGATCTGGTCTGAAAGACTGTAACTTGTAGGATTGATAACCTTAATTATCTCAAACTTGTTTAAGAAAAAAGCAAAGATCCTACTATGACAGTGATGTTTGTTCTTGTTTAAGGAAAAAATCCTAATCCTTATATGTTCTTGATAATCTCCTGCAAGAACTGTTGAGCTTGATGAGCCTCCGCTGCTCCACTCTGATTTAACTGCAACCCACCAAAAAAAAACATAACTTTGTGGAAAAAAAAAAACATCTTAGGACACATGATAACATTTGGTGTGATTTTGTACCTCAAGAGTTGAGGTGACAAGAAGGGCACCTTTGGAGGTGGTGGCAGAGGTATCATAGAGATGAACTCCAAGAACATTCATGGCTTCCATTAGTTTCGTAAAGGCGCCTTTTCGGTTCTGGCAGATTACCTTGATCCACAGCTTGTTTTGGTCAATTTGAGCCACCTGAACCTCTGCCTGTTCACAACAATATTCAATATAATGGGGTGCAGACATTTGTTGAGCATATAGCCATTAATGTGCAATCCAATTATCAGCTTAGGCTTTTAGTTGAGATGAAACACATGCTTCAATTGACATGAATCCATGATTCGTCGATCGAAATTGAAAACAAAACGTTTAATTTACCTCAATCCCAAATTTCTTCATGTCTTCTGCAGCAGAATCAGTGTTATGATCTCCAGTAATCTGGGCTTTCCCTTCCACTCCAGAAGTGGCCTCCATTTCCAAAAGCTGGTTGCTCAGCTCCTTCACATTGTTCTGCAGCTCCTCAATGTAGCTAATCGCATCCGTGATAATCGTTTCTTTAGTCATCTGCAAATCAAGAAACATAACACACAACATTACAATTCACTTCAACAGGAAAAGACAAAATCTTGAAACATAGATTCTAGGATAATTAGTGGGATCTTGCATTGGTTATGTTTGGGACTAATGAGCGGAGCTCCAGGAGCCTCTGGCTGAGCTTCTCACGACGCCGCCTCTCGGCCTGGAGATTCTTCGACTTAAACTCTCTGCAGTCATCCTGAACCTCCACAACACATTTCTTCTTCCTCTCCATTCTCCCTCCTCCTCCCTTCCTCTCACTCTCTTCTGTGCTGCACAAATCCACAAACGCTTCGACGGGGAACTCTCTTTTCAGGGTATCAGCTATCATGTTTAGTTTTGGAAGATATTGGCACTGGAAATGGAGCTCAAAGTGCAGGGGTCTAATTCAGGTTGTTTAGTTTATGTAAGTGTGCCTCACAGCATACACATGCATTTCTCTTCTTCTGGGGAATGAAGGGATTGGGAGGTGAGAATCTTTTAGTTGCAGTTTGTTGGGCATTCTAGCTTCCATTCAAATCAATGTTTTTGGTGTTTTCAGAGAGAGAGAGAGAGGGAGAGAGAGAAACCATGTTCAATTCATTCTAGCATGAATGTGTGTGTTCATCGTGAGGAAGACCACATTGTACAGAAATGAATGAATTTTTTTTTCCAAGAAAGAAAATAAAATTTTCACTTTGCCCCATTTTGAGACAATTATAACATTTTGGGGAACTTTTAGGGTTCATCCATACCTGTGTTTGTACTAAGTACAACCATATACGCTTATTTAGATTGTAACAGGTACTGTCAACACTTGTCTTTACTATAATATTGTGTACAACCGGACATATCATATATGATACAAAGACACCCATGTCAATCACCTTAGAAATTTCATAAAATTGTACATTATTGGACGCTATAAATTAGTTTGTATATAATTAGAAAAATGACTTTGATCGATCTTCTCTGAATTATAGAGTGTTAAGTTTTTCGTCCCTGAATTAACTTTTTTCATCTCTCAATTGTCTGCAATGTTATTTTTTAACTCAACTCTAACAAAACTCAAAAACGACAGAAAGTAATTCACACACAGTTAAATGACGAAAATTACTGACAAATAATAATTGGAGGACGAAAATTTTAATTTCTCTATAATAATTCAGGTACAAAATGTATTAATTTTGTTATACAGTTTGAATCTGTTAATTAAACCAAACACATAACTTATGTTTTTCTTTTAGTTGTGTAACAAACTGTTATGTTGGTTGTTGTGTTTCTGTTTTTTGTTAACATGTGATGTTGAGGCCATGAGTTATTGAGTGTACAAAAAGGGAAGCCTGAAATATTCTGTCCAATATTTGTTGTTTCTGACAGGAATGGTCTCTTCAGATCAAAGTACATATTTTTTTTTTTTAATTTTGTTAAGTACCCAAATAGTACATATTGTTTACTAGTGAATATGGCAGCATAGTACAATTTACAATCATTGAAATCTTCAAAATTTTTTCAGGTCTGATCACAAGTTTTTCCAATCAAAATACATTATAATTTCATACACTAAAACTAATCATTTTCATTTCGATTCGAAACCTCTAATTAAACTAAAAAAGACTCACATTATCCTTAAATTTTTTTTTTTTTTGGCTTAACTACCGATTTCTACAATTAAGATACATTAAGATCACACACATAAAAACTAATCTTGTTTTTGCTTGCTCAAGATTTTTGGTTAAATTGGAAGGGACATGTCATTTCATCCATGCCTAATGGATATTCATATTCAATTTTAACTGTGAAAAATATTATTTGTACACTTTAATTTTTAGGTAATTAATTTGATTTTGTCAAGTCTTCATTGTAAGTATTGTATGATATATTGGTCTTATTTTAGGATATAGATAAGGTCAAATAAATTTTGTCTAAAGATTTAAAAATTGAAATGTAGAAATAGTTTTTTTTTTAAAGAAAAATTTTATAATGTCGAGTATTTTTCAAAGTTATATGGAGGGGAATGTAATTTTGCAAAGTACAAAATACACTTCAAAGCATAAAGTACATTGTAATTTTTATTTTTGTTAACCATGCAGAATGAAAACTTTACAATTACATTAGCGGTTTGCATATTAATTGTCTTAAATTGTTGGACACTTAGAATTTCTTTATTATTTTTTAATGATATAGGTATAAACCCCATGTGGAAGTTTTCTAATTAAATATAAATTATATAATCTGCTAAAAACAGATATTATAAGTTCTAGAAAATGTTCAATAGTATCTAACTAATTTATGGGCAAATACATTCAAAAAAAAAAAAAAATTTATGGGCAAATAAATAGGGACATTTTTTTTAAACCACCTCTACTCCCATGAAGGTTAGGTGATACTACCGCTCAGCAAATTATGCTATGGACCCGGGTTCAAGGTGGACTCGGATCCAAAACGCACATCTAGAGTTAATGATGTTTTTTGTGAATATAAATTTCAAAAATTGTGAATATAAATTCAAAAATTATGTTATACTGTTGAATATAGAGTTCTTTAACTGTGAATATAGAGTTCTTCAATTGTTAATATAGAGTTCAATAATTATGAATATAGAGGAACGAATTCTAAAGACAAATGGTAAGGAAAGAAGCAAATTTTTTTTTTTGGTAATTCAGACGGCGTCGATTTGAAGCAAAATGACGCCGTTTTGGACCCGAGTCCACCTTGCAATGTGGACACAGGTCCATGGCATAACAATTGCTACCACTCATATGCATCCCGGCCAAATTCTACATTCATCTAGTGCTCATTGTAACATTTGTGTCACTTTGTTACACGTTTTCGAAATATGCTACATCATTTTAGACCTTTCTTATATAACTAGTTTTTTACGTGCATTGCGCGATTGGGATAATGCTCAATGTTTTTTTTTTTTTAAATAAGTACTTTAAAGTATATTAAGGCAATATTATATTGAAATTGTTTATGTATAAATAATTGAAGGTTGAATTTGCGTATTTAAATAGGTAATTCTTCTCCCAAAGGTTGAGTCCCCTACCCCAAGGGCCCCCCACACTCTGACCCACAGAGCATTGTAGGAAGTTGTAAATCACGGTGACTCAATGGTTTAGCAGACAAGACCAAATGCCCGTGCGAACAAGGAATCTGCCCACTTTGGACATAATTCCCGCACTGCCGCCGCCGAGGTTCAAACTTTGGTCTCTTCTCTCAAATACTGCCCACTAAACCATTGAGCTAAGCCCGTGCGGGTTAAATAGGTAATTCTAAGTTTACAAATGCAAGATAATATAGTCAAGATTGATTATAATTGTCAATAAAATAATTGTATAGGTATGGTTGAAACCAAATACGGGACATAAGGGATAACAAATAAAAATTAGGGCATAAAATATTAAATATATACTAATATTGTTTGAGGGGATTTCGACATTAGGATTTGTGGTTAAGTTCTATTAAGACTTTAATATTAGAATTAGATTAATGGTGTAATTATAATTCTATATTAGACGTTAATATTAGAATTAGACTAACGGTGAATTAACGGTATTTAACGGAAAAGTTAAATGGATAATCATATAATTAAGGATAAATTAGAAAAATTTTAAAAAAAATTAAAACCTGAACAATTTGAATCATTCATTTGATTTAATAATTGGCGGTCATTTTTTCTACCCAATGTTAATAATTAAATAAATTCGTTGCTCAAATTCGCTAATATAATCCGCTAACTGCTGATTGTCAAACAAGGACATTGCAGGGTAGTTCTCACTTCAATTTGTTGTGTGATTTGAATACTCTCTTTGTCACAAATCTCTCAAGTAGTTAATATTGTTGGCTTTATTAATTTTTTTTTTTTTAATTTTTTCATGGTATTAATAAAATACTTGGTAAATAAATATATAACATTATTTTGTATTATAACTTTGATATTTAATTAGAAAAATAGTGCACAAAAAAGATAATAGACAATGTAGTGAATATAATCAATTGATGAATTTGAATGTAAAAATTTTTACATTTGAGAAAAATAAAGACAATATAACTAATGAAAATATTTCTCTTAATTAATTTATTGATAATGAATAATTTTTTTTCACTGAATTAAGATATTGTAAGGACAATGTAGCGAATATAATCAATTAATAAATTTGAATATAAAGAATTTTTATATTGTAGAAAAATAAAGACAATATAACTAATACAATTATTTCTCTTAATTTATTGATAATGAATAATTTTTTTTTGAATAAAGGCATTGTGGACACATAATTCTAAATTAAAGAAATGCATATCTATAATTTTTTTTTATTATTGAAATCACTGAGTAAGTTAACGGTGAACTAACGGCAATTCTTAAAATTTTAACGAAATTAGTAACGGTGTGTGGGTATTTTAGAAAATTTTAGTGTAAAATTTAAATCTTATCAATCTTTTAATCAATCTGCCGTCATTTTTTCTACCCATTATAAGCATAACTCTCTTGGGCTCTTATTAGTATAGTAGATAGTAGATTTGTAAAATCTTTCGAAAAACTTGTACATAACACTAGTAATGTAGAGATGCATATAAATATTCTAGAACATTTTAGAATCCTTAGGTTTGTATAGAATTTTAGGGAGGGTTCTAGACTCTAGATATAGATTTATTTATAGTCATAGGATCAAGTAAATCGAGGGTTCTAGACTCTAGATATAGATTTATTTATAGTCATAGGATCAAGTAAATCTCCACCGTGCATTAAAGAGGTGGAATAGCTATAAGTACCCTTCAAGGGGACTCATTTGTAATGATCCAAACAATCAATTCAACATCACACTTAGCACAATTACAACAAATTCACAATCCTAACCCTAATATTTAGCTACTCATGTTCTTGGATTGCAAACACATGAAATTGAAGACATGCATTATAAGAGAAAAATGGAAATAAGAAATTGAAATGAAAGATGTTACCAATATGCAATCCAAGATAAATTACAATCAACAATTCAACACCACTAAAGTATAATTATAATTCAACTACGATTTCTGGACAATATACACTCAAATGTTCTTGGATTGCAAACACATGAAATTGAAGACATGCATTATAAGAGAAAAATGGAAATAAGAAATTGAAATGAAAGATGTTACCAATCTGCAATCCAAGATAAATTACAATCAACAATTCAACACCACAACAATTCAACACCACTAAAGTATAATTATAATTCAACTACGATTTCTGGACAATATACACTCAAATATATAAAATTGTTGTTCATTTTCATTTTATATACACTGTAATTTTATAGCAATACAACTAAAGTATCATTTTGATATAATGTGTTATTCAGTTTCATTTTATACAACTATAATGTATTTCAACACAATTAAAGTAACATTTCAATTAAACTACAGTACATGTTATTCAATTTTATTTTATACATATTATTATAGTTTTATTTCAGTAATATATACGCAATATGTGAAACATATTATGCAGTTTCATTGTATTGAGCTCAACATTGAGGTTAACTGCAAAGTAAAGGATCGAATAAGCTAAAGAGAAGTCAGTTAAGAGCTGCTATCATGTGTGTGGAGGATGAACAATAATGCAGAAATTCAATAGAGATGCAATACACCTCAAAGAAAAATATCCTAAAAGAATTTCCAAAAGTAAATATCATAATTTCCACCCATTACAGCTTCAATTCACAAATTCATTGAGCAGCAATTTCTGTGTGGAATCCTAAAAGCATCACATCTATGATTATTCTCAAGATAAGAAAAACAAAAAAAAAAAAATAAGAAACCCTGTTAAACTTATCTCTTTTGCATGTTTTTTTGTTTGTCCCTCTTTTTGTCGCAGAAGCTGTCAGGAACTATCCTTGTAAAACAGGAACAGATTATCCCAATGGTAAATTCCGTGATCGAGATACAGCATTCTTTTTACCGTGATCGAGATACAGCATTCTTTTTACGACTATTGCAAAGCCGTGCAGCTGTCGCTGACAAACACCACAAACACCAGAGAGCCGCCTAATAGCTATTGATCTGAGCCTGGGGCCTTGTGGGAGGACCCATCAGTCGAGAAAAGGGCGCCTGGTTCCGGTTGGTGGTAAGGTTTCTCGGGCCAGAAAAACAATCTGCCGATGGGGGGTCAGAAACTGATTTTGAAAAGGCGGTGGCAAGCTCAATTGCAGAGGCTACTTTCCCATATCGCACTACTGGAACATCGCTCGAAGGTTTTGGATGCTCAACGGGCTTGCGCCAGGTTTCTGGTGAAGTTGGCCTGTCTTGTGGTGCCTGTGGTTGCTGGTGATGGTACCTCTCAATCTCCCTGTCTCTGCCATTTCTTGGATTTTCACTTTGCCTGTTTCTCCTCTGCATATCTGATCTCTGACCATTAAATCTTGGATCTCGCCTATCAGTGTTTCCAGTAGTCCTATTATCAGTAACGATATTCTCAGCTCTTCCGTTATAACGAGTAGCATGCACCTGCCCCGTCTCTGTCCTGGAGGCATCTTGTTTGTTCCTTTATACAAAAATGTATAAATTATTTTAGCCTCGACAGAACTTCCAATCGAATGCAAATCTATCAAATTCCTTACCTAGAGAAGTGTTGACGGTCATGGTCATTTGTACCAGCGTCATCAACGCCTCTTGCCTTTAGAACCTGGTGTTGGCAGTAGTAGATAAACAACACAAAGCATTACAACAGAATAAGAAAATTCTTCTTATATGTGAAATTGCTTCTCGAGTTTCTAAGAAGATGTGGCAAAAAGTTCATCCAATTTCTTCTTCTCGTTTTTTTTTTTAAATATATCTAGGTCCAAAAAGTAAGATGAGGGAGCATCTTTTTAATCGTTTGGATTCTGAAAAGCATGAGAATAGGTCAATCTAGACATTCAATTTGGTGGAACTCATTTCTTTAGTGACCGAAAAGTGGAAGAATCTTTTCCTGTTTGTAAATAAAATTTTATTATTTTATTCTTCTGCATACCACAATCAAAAGGAAGAAAACTTACCAATTCTCTCGGACGAGCACCACCAAATACTGTGTTCCTGCAGCAACAAATCACAAACGTCAAAACAGCCAGAAAATAAGGCCATAGTAAGATTATGATAAAATACTCAAAAGTTTCCCATAGGCACAGAATTACACTTTCCAGCCATAATCGACTTTCAAAGAAATAAAAGTTTTCAAAAAATAAAAAATAAAATCAATAGATATACTAAGAAAGGATAAATTGATGATGATAAAAACCTATTTAAATAAGTGAATTAATCATACACAGTCAAGCACCACTCTCTGTTGTCTTTTTCTGCATTAGATATTAGCATGAATCATACATAGAGAGAACAGAGATCCAAACTTGAACATGAGAAGTAATGTCGGAAAAGACAGTAATTAGAAATATGCTGACCTTTTGCCTTTTTCATCATGTTCAAGAGGCTGTGATCGAGGCTTCAAGTTCAGTTTTGGGCGATCAACAGCTCGGTCCCCACCCTCATATCCAACAAAACCATGTTTGTGGGGATTGCAAGATTCAGGCACAGTAGCACCATATTCAAGACGAACAGGATCACTTTGCTGCTGGTGCCCCTATATCCAGAGAATACAAGAATGAAATGCAATTCTAAAGAAATACAGAGATGTAAATAAAAGTCTAAATGAATTACCTGCTTATATTCAGTGGGTTGTTCATAATTTTCTAATGGCTTAGATCTAGGAAGCAGCTTTAACTTGGGCCTCTCCAATGCTTCTGAAGGCACTGGTGACTGTGGTTCAGATTCACCGTGTTTTACAGCATATTGAGAACGTTGAACCCCATTGATAGTAGCTGAAGCTCTCTTTTCCAGGCCCTCCATAAACACGGGAGAATGAACTCTCTCATGTGCAGGCAACTCCTTATTACTTGCAACATGAATCCCATCACCGAGAGCCAGACTCTTATTGTTATAATCCATCCCATCAACTGCATCACTCACGCTATAGGCATTCCTATCGTAGCTTTCACCACCCCTGTAATACGATTCTCTCTTCGTCTCTTGATGTTTAAGGACCTCTACTTCTGTTGGGAAGTTCATTTGTTGCTTTGAATGCCACCTACCAGATGAGACCTTCTCGAGTGCACTGGCATGGGCCAACTTAGTCGCGGTATCCAGAGCAGACCATCCAGTAGCAACCGGTTCCTTTACACGTGTTGCCTCTTTCTTTAATCCCCAAGCGTTTGAGTATGATCCAATAACAGCTTGACCACCAACATTTGAAGAAGTCACATTTACACGACTATTGCCCCCAAAAGTTTGAGTATTTACTCCAGCATTATTATTAGCTTCAGCAAATCTTGATGCATAAGAACCACTAGCTGTACCACTTGAAATCTGAGACACCGGTGCTGTTACTGGTCTGCTCCTGGCCCTACCATCGGATAAGTTGTCCTTCCTGGGTTCGACACGGCTTGGTTGAGCACGAAGGCTCTCATCACTAACCATCCGACGGGGCACTGATACCCCATCCAATGGCTTCCTCTCATCCTCATCAAAATTCCGGCCTATGTGAGCATTGTGATTCAGGAATGGAGTCTTTTCATCAAAGTTCCTCGACGCCCCTGCCGATCC